ACCTGTGCCTGTCTGAGTCAGTGTCTTGCCCAAGGAAGCATCTTGACTTGGGCTACCCAGGGCTGCTCTGAGGGACCAGGTTAAATGTGGGATGTGGAGTGGGGGAGGGAGCAGCAGTGCCCCTGAGCGGACTGTGCTCCTCCTCCTCCTGCCCCTCCTTTGCCCTCTGCCTTCCCCTCCTGTCTTGGGAAGGCCTCTGCTCGCTGTCAGTGGCCCACCTCTGGCTCCTTGACTCAGGGAACCCATGTTTCTCCCCAAGGAGAAAACAGTTCCCACCAATGACCTAGAGGAACAGATGTTGTGATGGTAGCCACCTAGAGCCTTGGCCCTTGGCACAGGGCATGAAATCTCCATGTCAGCCTGGGACAGGTGGGGAGAACTTTGTGGAGCGAAAGAAGGGACCTTCTCAGGATAGGAAAGGAAACTACTCCTATCCCAGGAGAGCATGCTGGAGGAGGCCAGGTGCAGAGAGGTGGAAAACATACACCAGACCAGGTGAAAAAGGAAGCAGGTCAGAAGAGGCAAAGCAGACCTGTGGGCACAGCTGGAGAACACAGACATAGGAGAGGGTGGAGCCTGTGGTCCTCCCAGAGAACCAAGGCTGCCTCCTTCTGCAAAAGGACACATCAGGGGCAGCTGAAGTCCCAGTGGGTAGCAAAGGTTACAACTGACTTCATGTTGTTGGACTTATCCAGGAAGGTGGTGCACAGAGAGTTTCTGTCTGCACACATCTCTTCTGGTTCCAGCCCTTTCCCGCTGTCCATCTTCCCTGCAGACTTCACCTGTAATTATGTGGAGGAACACATGAACTACGGAAAGAGAGGTGAAGGGCCCTGCATCCCCAACTCCCTTTTGTGCCAAACAATCTACTTCTCTGCCTCTTGTCACCACCCTGATGAGTCCTTCCACTTTTCCTTCAAATAGTGATCTGAGTCTTACATCTTACCTTACTTTTGGAGACATTTGGGTTTTCAATACTGAGATCCTTTGGCATAGTATCCATCATGCCAACCAGCTGGTAGGTTGGCAAGGTAAGCTATGATGAGGAAAGAGTTAGAGTTAGGGCTCTAGTGGGGAATATCTGAGACCAGTCTGGCTGCTAGCTAACCTCTCCCACCCTCAATAACATCATTAAGCCTAAGGTCTCACATTGGGTTTGTTCTCTTCAGGAATATTCAAGGAAGTAACCATGTGCTTTCTAGGATTCGGTGCCATTTCAATAGCGTGGGTCATCAAGTCTTCAGGAAGCAAGAGGTGGGAATCAGAAGGCTGAGAGGAGACCAGCTGGCCCAATTCCAACACCAACACTTCCCCAAGTGACAATCCCTAAATATCCCTCCCAGGCAAACCCATCTGCCCTCCTCTACCCCAGAATTACAGCCATCAGCCATACTTGGTTCAACAGGGGGTCTCTGAATGTCAAGAGCTTGATGGGAGGCATCACATTGTTTGTTCATGGTTAACTGCAAAGTTAAAGATGGAGTTCAGTAGCTCTGAGGAGAGGTAGTAGGGCAATATACGGGGAAGACAGAGGGGGTATGGCTGTTGGTGCACAACTTGTTTTGAGTCTACATTACCTTCACTTGCTCTACCTTTTCTGACTGCAGATCCTTAATAGAGCAGGGTACCTCAGAAGGAGTGACAAAGATTGATATCTGCAGATAACACATGAGGAGCTGGGTCTGCACCAAGAACTTTGAACCCCAAGAACAAGGTATCACCCCTGGCCTGCCCTCTTGCCCCCTTGATTGGCTCTGGTTATCCCCTTGACACATACCTTTTCATTATCGTCATCCCGAATCTTATCACCAATATTCTTCAACGCGAAGGCAATGCTGGCATTCTCAACAAAGAACTGGGCCTGCATTTTCTCATAGTGAAACTACAGTGACAGTGGTGAGAAAAATAGAATGTGAAGTCAGAATTGCTGCTCTTCCAGCCTTCTTCTGTCCTGTTTCCTCTTATACCCCTTACTTTTATCTCTTACCTCAACCGGAGTAAAAGGGAGACTGCACTGGCTCTGAATCAAATTCAGCAGCCACTTCTCTTCATATTTTATGCCAAATGGAATCTAGGAGCAAAAAAAAAGATGGAAACATTAAGTTTAAATACAAGCATGTTTCTTTCAGACCATTTTCAGGCTTTAAAATAATTTCTAAAGATAGGACAAATTCCATTATTTTTAGCTTTTATATCAGACATGGACTTCTTAAGTATCTTTTTTAAAAATTCAGATAGTTTTCTTCAAATAAAAAATGTCAGATATCTAATATGAACTAACTTGGTAAATTCCCAAGAAATCTTACCCAAGGCAGATCTGGCCTGCCTCCTTGTCAAGGACCCCAGAGAATCGAATCAAACACATACATACACACACACACACACACACACATTAAATTTTTGCCAAACAAGAATCTGGTGTGGAATTGTTCAATCTCCTTAGTGTTAGATTTTTTCCTTTGCTTATATGCAACCATTTCTATTCTCCCTGCAGTCACCTTGTCCCCTTTATATTCTCTCTCTTAATCTGCCCTTACATGACCCGGGATATTAACTCTTAGTGATAAAATATAAATTACCAATTCCCCTGCACCCAGAAATGAACCTTGCGTCCTGATACAAGTCCAATACAACTGTCCCCATTCTTCTTCTGGATATTTGGTCCATTTTGCCACAACACTCACTGTGATCTTGAACCAGCTCCCCAAGGTTCCATTCTGCCTGTTTCCCTCGGTTCTTCGCTCTGGAGGTTTTTGCACCCTTTCCGTATTACCATGGGTCTGGTCTTGTTTGTATAAATTGCTTCTCCAATGATGGGATGGGATGACATAGGGAGTGCTGTGGAGAAGTGAAGAAAAAGAAATAATCCCTACTGCTTAGACAGTTTTCCATACATATTTTGCTGCTTGGTACCAGGATTATGAAAATTTGCTGAACCTTTAATCTGAACCTATCATTTCTCACTCTTCCAGGTTGGAGACATGAAAGAATTACATATTTAACTACAGGGTTATATATTTCACTGGATGGTCTATTCTAGCCATACTGATGACTGGTCACTTACTATCTAACTCCAGAATCCATGTGGGCATCACTCATGGCTGAATCTCCTTCTTGCTGCTGGTGGGATGAAATATTCATGGCAGCACTGACTGGTTCAGACCAATTTGGAAATCTCCTTCGAAAAATACCCCAGCATCTTGCTCTTCTTTGAAGGGTATTAGCTTGGGAATTGTGACCTTATATTGAAAACAACACATCAGTGGTAAATGCCAGAAAAAGTTCTGGGAAAATATAATAGCATATGAAGAAATATCACTGTATTTTATAATCTAAAAAGAAATATATAAGTCTGGAGATGAAGCTCCATGATAGATCACTTGCCAATCATAGGTGAAATCAGGTGATTCCAGTCTCAAGGTGAGGGGTGGGGTGAAGAAAACAGGAATGTATCATAAGCCAGAATGTGATCTGTGATGTTCTTATTCCATACTTTGCCCTTTTCAGTTTGGGTAATTTGGACAATTTGTTTATTATCTCTCTTATCTCCTTCCTCTTCTTGAGGAGATAGATAAAAATCTACCCTGAGGGATGAGGCTGCAGCTCAGTGGTAGAGTATGTGTCTTGCAGTTGTGAGGCACTGGGTTCAGTCCTCAGCACAATATAAAACTAAATGAAGATATTAAAAAACAATCTACCCTGAAAGTTTGCTGTTATGGTTCAAAGATAAAAGCCAAGTTCCCTTCTTGAAAGAACTAGAAAAATGGAAAATAAGATTGAATACAGAGTAAATATTAGTTATACATAATTATGGAGAATTGTAAAAGAGAGGAAAGCAGGAGATGTAGTAAGTGTATCTAGCACATGTTTACTTTGAGTGCCAGAAATCAGGAAACAATAGAGAAGCAGCATATGAAGAAATCTTCCTTAAGAAGTTTCTAAGAAATAACAAATAAAGTCACTATAAAAACATTAATAGAAAAAAAGCGTATTTTAAGGGATAACATTGCTTATCAGACATTTCATAATAATGTTCTTATAACAAAAACTGAATTAAAATTGGCCAGAAGACTCAAATCAAAGGAAGTATTTAAAGGTTCTTTATATAGAAAAGAATATGATCCCAGATGGAGGATCATTGATTCAGGGAAGGAAAATGAGTGACATTTGTGAATATGGAGGCAAATCTAAGTGAATATTGATTATATAATACAATGATAATTTCTTTTGAGTGTTTTTTATCTATACGTAATTAAAATGTATGATAATAAATAGGGAGGGTTAATAACATCACAGTGTTCCAAGGTCCCTGCACTGTTTGAGAATTTGCAAAAGAACTAATTATTACATTAGACCACTATGGGGCAAAGATGTACATTGTAATCCTAAGGGCAAACACTGTAAGGATGGCCAAAGAATGTTTATTCAGCCAAATATTATAAAAATTTAATAGCTACAAATTTTAAACACATCAAAGGAAAGAAGAGGGCAAGAACTCAGAACAGGCAAATGTGTATATAGATTATTATTGTCTATTTGATCCAAATTATATCTTATAATTTCATAAAAGCAGAGTAAATTAAATACCCTAAATTGATATATGGAGAGAGTCACATTACATAATATTTCATCAAATTTTCCTTAAAAGAAACATGATATAAAAATTTTTAAATAAATACATGGCAAAATATTCTCACGTATATGTAGAAACTAAAAAAGTTGACCTCATAGAAATAGAGAATACAATGTCAGGTTACCAGTGCCTAGGAAGGGTGCAAAGGTCTGGGGTTGGAGAAAGGACAGTTAATGGGTCAGGGGTACAGTTGGATAGAAGTAATAACTTCCAATGTTTTATAGCAATGTGGGGTAACTGTGGCTGATGACAATTGTATATTTCAAAATAGCTAGAAGAGAGGATTTTGAATGTTACTTAAGGAAATGATAAATTTGAGGCAATGGCTACACCAATTACCCTGAAGTGATCATTACACATTGTATAAATGCAATGAAATATCATGGGAAAATATACTATCATGTATAACTAAAAAAATCAAATTTTAAAAATAAAAATAGGAAAAAGGAAAAACAACTCTGCACATGAGAAAAGTAGATTATGTTTCTGCTAAACAAAGATATGTGGTATGTAAGGTTTGTTTTTTGTCAAGGAAAAAATAAGAATAATTTATGTTTGAAATTGGAATTAATGGGCTGGGGTTGTGGCTCAGCACTAAAGCGCTCGCCTAACACAGGCGAGGCCCTGGGTTGGATCCTCAGCACCACATAATAATAAATAAATAAAGTTATTTTAAAAAGGAAATTTGAATTACTGATTGTCTTAGAATCAGCAAAAAATAGGAATGAAACTCAACAGAAATATAGATTTCTGAAAAACTAATCTTGAATAATAAAGTATATGCATAGTTAAGCTAAAAAATACTGTACACATAAACATGTACAATTATTATATCAACTTTTGGTAATACAGGGAATGAAACCCAGGGCTTCACACACTAGGAAGTGCTCTACCATTGAGCTATATCCACAGTCTAAAATGTTTTTTTAAGTAATGAAAAAAACAATAAACCATTCTATCCATTCACTAACTGAAAATCTGTATAGCTCTACACTTTAATGAAAAAATAATTAGAGAAAATAGGGAGAATTCATAAGGATAAAGGATCAATTCAACAGTAAGATATTAAAGATTTTTTATTTTTATGCATGAACACAGAGCCAAAATATACAAATAAAAAACTGGTTAAATGGTGAAATGAATACATTCACAGTTTGGGGGAAATTTTAACACACTTCATTGAATAACAGATACAGCCTGCAGACAAAAATTCACCTATTTGGTGAAGATTTAAATAATATAAGTAACAAGATGGGCATGTTAGTACATGCCTGCAGTCCCAGCAACTGCAGGAGGCTGAGGCAGGAGGATCACCTAAGCCCAGGAACTCAAAGCCAATCTGATAGTTAAACCTCATCTTAAATTATTTTTAAAATCTGGGTAACAAATCTACTTAATTGATATGGAAGAATTCGCATAAAAGCTACACATATAATATTCCAGATAGGTCATCTGCTAGCACATAAAACAAGGCTTGGGAAACTTCTATGGGAATAAATACAATCTACCCTGAATGGTTGGTGTAAAAATTCAAGGGTACAGGTAGCTTCCCTGGCCCTCCTCCACCATTAGCTGGAATCCCATCTTTCAAGTGACATTCTCCATTCCTCAAACCCTGGACTTTCCCCTCAAATAGGACAAAATAATTAACTTCAGCCAAGCCAAAGAGAGGTTTTCCATGTGAAAACATAAAAAGTATCTCAGACCTCAATTGACACTTGTCTTTATGAAAAATATCAACCTGGGACCTTGCCACAATCCCCTTTGCATCTTAAAGTTTAGTAAGGTTTCTTATGGATGGGGGAGGGGCCCAGAATACCCCTTGGGGACCTGAGACCAAGGCCTCATGCTGACCAACTCACCCATTATGTGTCTGGCCACCAAAATCCTCACGAGGTCCTTCTGCAGGGAATCTGTGTCGTCTGACAATTTGAATCTCTGAAAGATTGAGGAAGGCTGCTGAGCAAGCTGAGAGCAAGCTCCAACTCACTTTGTCAGAGCCAGACTAACAAGATGGAGTCTTTACAGGAAGTTCCATCCCCAAGGGCGTAGAGAGGAGAGCCCTGGGGCCAGAGGAGACTTGACTTCCTGTTCTCACTGCCTCCTGAGTTTACTACCAGCCTCACACCCAGGGAGCTGTTTCCAATTGAGCCACCTCCTGCAGAGGAAGCCAACTAGAAGGTTTGAGGCCCAGCTATGTGTTGCTACAAATACAGGGAACTCTGCATTCCAGTCTCTGTGTTGGTTACATTACATTGTATTCCTTCATTCTGCACCCAGAGAACTTTGAGTACCCACTGTAGGATGGGCACTGTACTTGTTACATTACACGTTGTTTTGCCACCTATTTCTCACAAAGGGGCTCTGATTTCAAAATCACCAGCTTTCTAAAGTTGTTGAGACTTAACAGGTTCAGGAGCTTGTTTCGAGTCACTCAGATGCTACCTGGAGAAACAGAGTGTAACTAAGACCCATATAATGGGGGTGACCCCTCCATAAACAGCTTTATTAAAGTCATGTAATATGTGAGGCTCTCCTAAGTTAGGGTAAAGTAACAGAATGTTCTGAAAGTAGTTAAATGGCTGGATTAACTGCTCTATAGTTCTGGAAGTCTCAGGCCAGAGGGCTTTTGTAAGAGGAAGGGAAAATAGGGAGGGCCAGGACTTAAGTGCATCAACCATTATTTTTTCTAGAATTTTATACCTTTTGTTGGGTCTCTATATCCTGAGAGAGGAAGTCTAGCCCCTGAGTGAGCTGAAAATAAATCTGCATATGAGAATGTGTAAGCATTTGGGTGAAGGAAATTGTTATCATTTGGATGTGAGGTGTTCCTCAAAAGCTCCTGTGTGAGACAGTGCAAGAAGGTTCAGAGGAGAAATGATTGAGTTTTAAGAGTCTTAACCCAATCAATGATTTAATCTCCTGATAGGGATTAACTGAGTGGTAACTGAAGTGGTAGAGTGTGGATGGAGGAGGTGAGAATTGGGGCATGGCTTTGGGTATATATATTTATATCGGAGTGTAGACTCTCTCTCTCTCTGCTTTCTGATCTCAGTGAGCTGTTTCCCTCTGCCACACACTCTGCCATGGTGATCAGCCTCACCTCAAGCCACAAGGAATGGAGCTGGCCTTCTATAGATTAAGACCTGAAACCATGAGCCCTCAATTAACCTTTCCTCCTCTAAAGTTGTGCTTGGTGGGTCTTTTAGTTGCAACAGTGAAAAAGCTGACTAAAACAGAAATATAAGACAGAAAATCACACAATCAAAAAAACAAACTGCTGAGTCAAGAGTTTACATTTTTAACTTTTAAAAACATATTTATTTTTTAGTTATAGGTGGACACAATGTCTTTATTTTATTTTTATGTGGTGCTGAGGATCGAACCCAGTGCCTCATGCATGGTAGGCAAGTGCTCACCTCTGAGACACATCCCAGCCCTTAACTTTTGTACACTAGTGTATTAGTCAATTTTTTGTTGCTGTGACAAAAAACAGCTGGGACTGGCATGCCCTACCATGTCAGATAGGGCCGTGGACACTAGCTCTGAAATCACCACCAAGGACTTAAAGGAGAAGAAGGAAGTTGTGGAGGAGGCAGAGAATGGAAGAGACGCCCCTGGTAATGGGAATGCTAATGAGGAAAGTGGAGAGCAGGAGGCTGACAATGAGGTAGATGAAGAAGAGGAAGAGGGTGGTGAGGAAGAGGAGGAGGAGGAAGGTGATGGTGAGGAAGAGAATGGAGATGAAGATGAGGAGGCTGCGGCAGCTACAGGCAAACGGGCAGCTGAAGATGACGAGGATGATGATGTTGATACCAAGAAGCAGAAGACTGATGAGGATGACTAGACAGCAAAAAAGGAAAAGTTAAATAAAAATAAAAGGCCACCGTGACCTATTCACCCTTCATTTCCCATCTTAGAATCTAAATGTGGTCACTTTTCAGAAGAGAGGCCCACAGGATCGCCCACCACGGGCAGTGCCACCCGCAGATGACATGTGCTCTTTACCACTCAACCAAAACCACAAAGTGAATTTGCAACAGGGGAGGAAAAAAGAACCACAACTTCCAAGGCCCTGCTTTTTTTCTTAAAAGTACTTTTAAAAAGGAAAATTTGTTTATTTTTTATTTACATTTTATATTTGTGTACATATTGTTAGGGGTCAGCCATTTTTAATGATCTCAGATGACCAAACCAGCCTTTGGAGCATTCTCTGTCCTACTTCTGACTTTACTTGTGATGTGACCATGTTCATTATAATCTCAAAGGAGAAAAAAAAAAAAACCTTGTAAAAGAAAGCAAAAACAATCTTATTCTGAGCATTACAGTAACTTTTTTTGTGCATATACTTTAACTATACTGTAAGTAGTTGGTTTGTATGAGATGGTTTAAAAGGCCAAAGATTAAAAAAGTTTTCTTTTTTTTCCTTTTTTTTTTTTTTGTCTATGAAGTTGCTGTTTATTTATTTATTTATTTATTTATTTTTGGCCTGTTTGATGTATGTGTGAAAAAAATGTTGTCCAATAATAAACCGGAATTTTATTTTGCTGAAAAAAACTAGCTGGGAAAATATACTTGGAGATGGAAAGATTTATTTTGGATCATGGACTCAGAGTTTTCAGTTCATGGGAGGATGGCATCCAGGACACATGGTGGTGAGATGTGAGCCCCAAAGAATTTAGCCAGTCCAACCCCTATGGGCTTTGCCAGTTGCAACCCACATGGCCTCTTTCTTGAGCTGGCTCTTCTAACTKCCTGAAGTTTTCCTTGGCAGATAATATGTTTCTGGCATTCTCTTAATTCCTGGAATCTCCACTACATCTCTGGATTCACTCTCAAAGTTTCACATATCACCCTCTCAGGGGCTGTCCACAGGGTTTCTAACCCACTACACTTTGCTGGATCTCCCAGGCCTTCCTTTGAAATATCAATATTATCAATGGAAGCCTACATGAGTCACTAACTCCAGCATCCTAAATTCCTGCAATACCAGCACCTCATAGACTATACCAAGGTCTGCCAACAGTTAAAGTGGTTCCTCTTGGACCATGACTAAAGCAGCCTTGAGTGCCCAGGAAGCTGAGTACAGTGAAATGAATCCTGGGGAAACAACTTCCTAGGCACCCCTGTGCAATCACAGTGCCCCTATAGTCTCTTTTCAAATGAGTTTTCACTTTTACACTCTTAATCCAGCAGTGGGTGTGATTTTTCTGGTTCCTGACATGCCTCAAAGCATCTCTCCTATTGTCTCTGTACAAAGTACTTGGCTTCTTTTTAGTGGCAGTAATCTTTTTGGCCACCACGACTTTCTTGACTCCAATATTATGTGTACACTTCTGGCCATACTGTGAGTTTTAAAAATATTTCCTCTCTTCTTTTTGCTCTTTATTCTCACAGTAAACCTGGCTAAAATCCGCCAGCAACACCCATGCCACCACCTGAATGCTGTGTTTCCTTGAAACTAGTTGATCACCATTAAATTAAATGTTATAGAAAGTCTCAGGACATGGACAAAATGTAGACAAATTCTTTGCCAGGATATAACATGCAAGACCTCTAGTCTAATTCTAAATTGAGTCCTAGTTCCCATCAGAATCCTCATGAGCATGGACTTTACTGGCCACATTTCTATCAGTATTCTGAGTTCCAACCAGAGTCATTCATTAAGCTATGCTTAAAACATTCTAAGGCTTCTTTAACCTACATCTTCAAACTTTTCAAAACTCCACCCTCAGGGATGGGAGTGTAGCTTAATGGTGGAATGCTTGTCTAGCATGCCTGAGACTCTGAGTTAAATCCCCAGCACTGAAAAAAAAAGCTATTCCAAACTACACCCTTAACCAGTTCCAAAGGCTTCTGAATCACATGATCAGGTATAATTACAGAAACAACTCCACTTCTCAGTACCAATTTCTGTTTTAGGCAGCTTTTTACAACTGTGACCAAAATATCTGACAATAGCAACTTAGAGGAGGAAAAGTTTATTTGGGGCTTGCAGTTTCAGAGGTCTTAGTCCATAGTTGGCCAACTCTATTGCTCTGGGTTTGAGGTGAGACAGAACCTCATGGTGAAAGAGAGTGATGGAGGAAATACGCTCAACTCATGGCAGCCAGAAAGCAGAAAGAAGAAAAAACAAGGAGCCAGGGACAAAATATAGTGCCCTAAGGTATGCCCCAGTGACCTACTTCCTCCAGCTATACCTACCCAGCTACAATTACCACCTAGTAATCCATTCAAATTATCAATATATAAAATGGGTTAATCCACTGAAGGGGTCACAGCCCCAATCATTGCCCAAAAGCCCCACCTCTGAACCTTGCTGCATCGGGCATCATGCTTTCAACACATGAGGATTTGGGAGGAAATTCCAAATCTAAAACCACATCATGCAGTTTTAAACCATAGTATATAGATATCTAGTGAGAGGGTAAGCTATGTATAATGCATTATTTAAAACGAAGTAACTATTGCAATATACCCTGAAAAACCTGGCAGATACAATTGTTTTTACAAAATTAAATAATCTCATTTAAAGCATTACAATTAAAATCCACAATACAACATATTGCTTATAGGTAACGGAAACTATAGAAATTAAAGCTGAAATTAGCATTTTTCCGTTTATACTCATGGGAATTTTGAACAAAATCTTTAAACCTAACTAATTTGGTAATGTACCAAGACACAGCTTAAGCACTATCCATTACTTTCTCAAAATAAGTATACTGTCATCCCACTAAGTTTCCATTTTTAGAAACTGGGAAAATATATGGTTGAGTGGAACACATGAGTAGAGGATGATAAAGTACAGAGTCAAATGTCTATAGTAAAAGGGAAATTGACTTTCATTTTTTAAAAAAAATATTTATTTTTTAGTTGTAGTTGGACACAATATCTTTATTTTATTTATTTTTATGTGGTGCTGAGGATCGAACTCAGGGCCTCACATGTGCTAGGCGAGCGCTGTATGGCTGAGTCACAATCCCAGCCCCAGGAAATTGACTTTCTACTGACAAAATCGTGTATTCATACTTTAGAATATTGAACATTAAACTGAGCATAAAGAAGTAAAAGGTTGAAAATGCCATTCATGAGTAGTACTCCCTTGCAGAAATCTCAGTTGTGTGAGATATTTCACTTTATGAGCATAAACAGCCATATCTCACTTACCCAAACCTTAAGGTCCTCAGCCTTATTTGGCTGCCCACAGTCTAGGAAGTCTAGGATTCACTTGTTGTCTCACTTCCTTACATAAAATTCACCCCCTGGATGAGCTGAATTCCTTCTCCTGTGCTGGTCTCATTGAAAAAGGAACTGTTAGGAGCATTACAGTGGGGTAAGGCAAATCTAGACTTATTCCCTCATTCCATTATCATGGCAGTATTCACATTTGCTCACCTTGCACTCAAATGAGCAAAAATATGTAAGTCCTTTATCAATCAATATAACTAGCCTAGCCATCTTAACTGCCTTCATCTTCACTGAGCTTTGCCTATTTCAGCACTCTCTGGCTGTCCTGTGAAGAATATTCATAGTCTCTCAGTATGCTCTTCCCCTTCACTTAACCATTCTCCATCCAAAATGGCCTTGCACTTATAGCTGGGTCCTGGCATTGTCCTGTTGAACATAGACCTTCCCAGATAACACAAAACATTAGACAAAAGCATTTTATGACCCATGATGAAGTGAGAAAAAAAAAAAAAAAACACCTCGCACAACCATGCAAATTATAATATGACAGAACACTCCTTTATCCTGGCTAATACGTGACTATTACTTTCTTAACAATTGCAGCTTTAGTTTTACTCTATTATTTTCTTCTGTACAACATTTAAAGATATCAAATCATACAATTAATCCTATTTCCTGCCAGCATTTAGCAAAGAGCAATTCTGTAGTTCCTTGAGTCCATCCCAAAATCACCTGACACAAGTCCAAATCTTATATGTCATCCATAATACCTTCTTTTTGAGAGAGAGAGAGAGAGAGAACTTTTTTAAAAAATATTTATTTATTTATTTATTAGTTTTCAGCGGATATAACATCTTTATTTGTATGTGGTGCTGAGGATCGATCCCAGCTCTGCGCGCATGCCAGGAGAGTGCGCTACCACTTGAGCCACATCCCCAGCCCCCATAATACCTTCTTACTGAGGCACTTCATCATTCTCAGTGGTGTGCATTCTTCCTCTTACAATAAGTAAAAGTTCAACTTTGATGGCTACAACTACAGGTGTGTTCTTAGTGGCCTTGTGAGTAGAAACACTGACATCAGGATTAAATGGCCACACTGGGGTGACAATTCAGGGTTTCCTGGGTCATGGCACATCTTATTTCCATAGTATCTGCAATCCATGCTTATCAAAGATCTGGGGGGGGGCAGAGTCTACCATAGATGTCTAAATCAAGGCACAGATAGATTGTCTGCATTATGGCATGGTACAGAGAATGGAGTGGGAGGACTGATTAAGATGGAAGGCAGCAAATGTCAATCCCAGGAAGGAAGGTTTGTGTACAGTTTCTCTTTGTTTTCTGGGCCCCGGTACATTCTGCTTGGGATAGGGTTAGAGGGAGAATGAACTGTAAACTTCATATGAAATTAGCTCCAAAAGGAGGGATTATTTCCCATAGCTCACTTCCCTTCTTGTCTATCATATACAAAAACATCAAGTTCATGGACACATCATCAAGATGTATTTCCAATACACCTTGATGATGGAGAAGGAGGTTTTATGTAGAAAGAACTCCAGGGGGAATGGCCTCAATGATGTCCTTTTCCAACCCCCACTTCCAAACAACTTGTGTGTCTTTCCTTAGAATACCTCTGGATTCTGTGTACTAATCTTCACTCCCAACAATTTGCCC